AGTAAGTAACTTCTGGGAACGGCGAAGGGCCCACCCACCCGCCCGTGCTCCTTACGGGTCTTTGAAGGCTTCTGCGCTTCCACACGGGCGCATGGTACATACAGCACCTGCGCGATTCTCCACGAGCAGCTGGAGCAGCGCGCAGGTGCTAAGACGCATGCGTGAACTGCGCGCATGCACGAGGACGCCGCCGGCCCCGTTCCAACCGAACTGGTTGGAACGGGATAAGCAACCCACTACTGACCTCATTCTATTCCTAAGAGGTCTGTAAGGGGGGGTGCATAAGTACACCAGCGTGCCCTACCGTCCCTATCCTACTGTTCCCATTTATTTGTACTCATTTCTTATGTATATATGTATACCTGATTATACTTATATGTTTATATGTTATATTCATACTTAGACTTGTTTTCCCATACATGCTTGACAAACCAAAATTAAATAAATAAATACTTCTTGGTAAAATAAAATAAAAAAGTGGGATAGACAGAGTCCCCACCAGATGGAGTCATAACTGGTTGACGAATCACACTCAGCGTCTAGTCCCTAATGGAACTACATCTTTATGGAGGGAAGCAAGCAGTGGGGTACCTCAAGTTGCCTTTTTTGCCCCCGAACTCTTCAATATCTTTGTGTTCTGAGAGTTTTAGTGGTATATAGATTATATTAAGGAAAGTATTGTTTTCCATTTGAATTTCAATTCAGGAAAACTTAAGATCACGTTTTACTCTTACGGTGCATGAAATTATTCTGGATAAACAATAAAATAATACTGTATAGTCTGAATAAAAGGGTAGAGACCTCATTCTATATGCTAGGTTTCTAAAAGAGCAAGTAACGTGACCAATGTAGAGAAATACCAGTTCACATAAAACTAAGTTCTCACTCTCCTCCAGTTTTAGATAAACGAATTGTTTTCTTTACTAGGCAAAAACTGATTGTGTATGGCAGTGGTTCCCAAACTTGGCAACTTTAAGACTTGTGGACTTCAACTCCCAGAATTCTCCAGCCAGCAGAGCTTAAAGTTGGCAAGTTTGGGAACCACTGGTGTATGGGATATCAGCAGATGTTTATTAAAACTGATAAGGGAGGCTCCGTAAATAAAAAAAACTTTAAAAATAAGATTTGAAGCAAATACTTTGCCACGCATTCCAAGTAAAAAAATAAAATAAAATGAAATCTCAGTTCGTAAATACACACATGTAGTGTAAGAAAATTTAAAAGGTTGCCTCTTTTTTAAAATTATGAAAATATGTGTTGATCAAAGCACTTTTCTTTGTATATCAGAGAAGTATAATCTTATTTTTACATAACAACACTAAACTCTTTCAGAGGTTTCAAACATTGCATAACCAAAGGCCTAACAGTTACATACCTAAATCCTGAATTTCTATACCCTCTAATATCTATTTCAAATGATTCCCAATCTCCAGGCATATCTATTAGATGCATGAAATGCTGAGGTAGAATTATCTCCTTCAGTAAGCAGAGTGGATCATTTACTCTCTGAAACTTTCATACAGAAAACCCCACATAACCTAAATATTTTATACTGCCTTAACTGTGTATCAGACAAGTTGACTACTTGCTACAACTTTTTCTTTTTTAGAGTCTATGAGACAAACACAGGGTTTCTTAACAATCCTTTGCTTTAGCTTTTGAGGACTAAAATGCTTACCTCATTGCCATGAACCATTAGATGATGTGTTGTAACTAAGGCTTTGAAGACAACAACCCAACTAGTGTTTGTCGCTCTCTCAAAGAGGGTATCAGCCATTTGTGGAATGTTGACATTTGTTTCATTTGTGGCCTGGATTAGATCTACAATATTTGGAGAAGGAGAGAATAGTAACAGTAAATATAGAGAGAAGATGATGTACTGGTTAAAGAGAGTATAGTTACAAATTATTGACCAAAATCATTACACTATACAGTAGTAATTTCACTTTAAAAAAAAGATGAAGGTTAAATTATTATTCGGTGCATAATGCTTAGAAAAGCCAATAGAAGGTAAAATGGAAAACAGTTTCTTACTGGATGATCAAACATTATTGCTATTACCAAAGTTTATTTTGTGAGAGTTTGTTTTTGCAGTGAATGAATAACAACAGGAGAAGAAACAGGAAATAAGCAAATGATAAATATGTGGCCCAAGTCCATTTTGGATTTGGCTCAATTAAAATTATAGCCATATTTGTGTATATGTATAAATGTTTTGCTGTTTTAATATTTTCAAACTCACACCATTTCCATATCAGAAGAAAACTGTAACCAATTAATGAAACCACATTTTTTGCTACTTTAGCAAAGTAGCCTGAAAATATTAAATGAGTAACCTGTACAAGGGACATCTTTTTTACGTTATTCTCTCATATCCATTTCTCCTACAACAGTTCATGCGACAACAGCTGTAGCAGAAGAAAATTCATTAATTGAGACTTTTCAGCCATTTCTACTTTAGACCAATATATGAAGAGTTGGTTTAGAATCAGTTCAGACATTTATCTTTTCAGTATCTCAAGTTTAGTAAAGCAAAACTTTTAGAACGAGAGAGAGAAACGGGGGAGAGGGAGGGAGGGAAAGAGAGAGAGAG